TCTGTGCTTTCATTGACAGGTTGCATCTGATGCCTTTTAGTGAAACTGTCAAGCATTTTATTGAACAATTTTCTTACTGCTATTAACGAAAAGTCTACCAACGATGCATCCCGCTCTCTGACATCACCCAAGCCTAGTATGTGTTTCAGGATCTTTATTGATGGATGAATGTCTGATATGCAGGTGAATTGGCTACGAGGTGTCCAAACAAATATACATAAACAGAAAGGAGCGGTTCGATCCATCCATCGTCTATGCACCGCTTAATCCTCACTACGGACAACAAGATAAGAAACACAAAAAGTACAAGAAGGGGGGAAATAAAGCAGACATAAGGGAGACGGGACAGCCAGAATTATCCTCTCAGTTCTTAGTTGTATATTGTTCCAGCGTGAGTCTGACACTAACAGTCATTATCGATTAGCTTACACTAAAGACGCACCTTGTGATGAATGAATTATGGACACTGTCTGGATCACAGCTGTGCACAGTGACCACGTGTCAGACTCCAGGCTCGCTCTGCTGAACGTCTCCACAGCGTGAGCAGGTTCTACGGTTCCTCCTACACGAGGGCTCCGTGTCACAGGGATTAAAACCAGCAGCAGTGCATACAAACAGATTTATGAAGGCGACAGAAGAAGAACACAGGAACATACGTCAGTGATTGTGCTTACACAGACTGTTGGTCGTAAATCTACAGTTTCATGAACTCTGGTCTCGTCCACAGAACACAGGATGTCCTGTTCAGTGTGGAGATGCTTCACGTTCTCCTGCTGCAAGTTTAACTTTAAATGAATCTACAGTAAAGCTTAAATTAACCAAATAAAAAGCAGCAAACCTTCAGATCCAATGTGACACATAAAGCTCATAAACATCATATTATGTATTTTATTCTCTGTTATTTATTTGTTATATATATATATATGTGTGTTGCCTAAATCTGCTGAACATAAAAGGTGATTTAGTTTTTAACATAATTTCTTCGTTAAATAATAGAAAAAACAGGATTCTTTAAGATTCCAACTAAACGAGACCCGATTGATCCTCCACAGCGGTGAACTGCAGACTTCATCAACAATTGTTGGTGCGCTAAAAAGAAAACATTCTGCTGAATAAAATATCACCTTGAAGCTCTTTTGTTTTCCTCTCTCTTCTCTGTGCCTCTGTGATCGCGCGAGGCCAAGTCCCAACTGTATACCCAAATGCAAACACACTCGCATACGTCCCCGCGTGTCAAAAGATGTGATGGATTACAACAATCAAACAATATTTCATGAGTCCCAGCTGGCTGCGAGCAGCCCGAGCCATTTAAATTTGTAGGAGAGAACAGCTCTCGTCTTCTATTTTTGTCCCCTCTGTCTTCCCCTCTCCTCGCCGGTGAGTCACGCTCTGTTCCCAACCTGCTGCGACACACTCTGATCTGAAGGAACACAAACACACACCGAGCGCTGCTGATTAATATCTTGGAAATCATTAGTTTATAGTCGTCCTAAAGAAGTCTGCGCTGCCTCCTGTGATCCCAGACAGACAACTCCGAGCATCCGACTGAAGCAACAGAAATCTGAACACAACTTTTGTGCTCATGAATCAGAAATTTTGTCTTTTTTCCAGAAAAATGTTCAGACTTGCTGAACCTCTTGTCTCTCTTCTTGTGTTCTGACATTAAGGCCAGAAGCAGCATGACTTTGGTGTCTTTTATCCTTTTTCTTTTTTTGCTGAAGGTCATTTCAGAATGAAACTGGTATTTTTCCTCCTCATAAACGTAATCGTCCATATTTACATTTATCCGTGTGGATGCACATCACTGACGGGGAACACGCTGTGATCTCTGCTCTGTACCTCATGACATGATTGCAGATAGGTTCGCCTTAGATTTATGGCAAATTAACGTCATTAAATTCAAGCGTAAGCTCATTCCTGGTCAGCTCAGAGCTTCTGCTGGGATACATACGTCATGGTGAAAGGTCATAACCATGGAGAGGGAGACTTTATGAGACTACCTCCACCTCTTTAGGAAAATTTAACAGTCAAGCAGGACTTTGGCAATATTTCAGCACAATTAAGCACCACATAACAGACTGAAGCCCAGATATTGAGACGTTGTTGATTCTGATTCTGACGAGTTTCTTTGTCTTCATTTGGTCAAGTTTGTTCAGTAATTTTTCTTAGTTCTATTCTTCTTCATTTTTCTTTTATTTTCCTTTTCATATTTACACTCTTTGTTGATCCCACAAGGGGCAACTGTCTTTTCACGTCTTGTTAGAAAGCTGTTGTCAGAGTACAGCATCACATTACTGCACTGCTGGAGAGGGAAGAATAAAAGGCCTTGCTCAAAGGCTTCTGATCAGTAGCCCAAATCCTAAACCACTGAGCCTGGCTCATACAATCACAGCTAAGAGACGTATTTTTCATTCTTCCAAACCTGAAATACGAAGTCAGTGTGAAAATGCCCCAAACTGCAGTTCCTAAAATGTCCACTCGAGGCTCCAAAAGCGAGTCCCCATCGACCCCCTTGTTAAAATGAACAACTTTGCAGCAGAAATAAACGTGTTTACAGGACAGTACAACAAATGGTTTTGGCTTCAATATGTTAAGTTTAATCAGCTGTTTACTGACAGACTTGATTTCGTTTGATATTTTGTCGGTTTAAGCAGTTTTTTCTTCACGTAGCTTTGACAACGTAAAGCTTCAGCAGTCGATAATGTTCGTTTTTACACGTATTTCCACCATGTCTGTGTTTTCAAACTTTAAAAGGTTAGAAAAAAAGTTAGTTAACTTGATATGATTCATTCAAATAATCATTTTAAGTCAAAGTGTTCCAGGTTAGAATAACGAAGAAATGAAATAGAAATAAATATTACACGATTAAGCTCGGTTTACTAGAAATGACCAAAACTTACGTACATGAAGTAAATTAGAAAACATGAGTTGATTTGACTAAACTGCTTCGTGTGGTTTTACAGTGTGCATTGTTTTCTGATTGACTACTTTGTGTTACTGCTGCGCTCTTTTAATCACATCGAGTTCTGACTAACTGGTTGTAAACCATTCAGAGCCGAACACCTGAACAGGAACCTTTGTCCTCACACAGGCGGTTACATAACAGACTGCAGGCCCGTCGGATCCGGCCCGGATATCATTTAATAGAGCCAAGAATACAAGCCAATTAACTGTAAATGAAAGGTAATTGATTTACAGTGCCAAATGTACTGTAAAACAAGCCTGCTTTGTGTTGACAGGCTAATGAGGACGGCGCTGTGTGAGTCGCCGGCTTTGTGTAGGTGTGTGTTGAAGATGGATGCAGCGTGGTTGAAAAGAAGGGGAGGGTCTGTTTAATTTACTGTATTGAGTGGGTGGTTGCTAGAAGGTGTGAAATAGAGACTTGGAAGGAGTTGGTGTGTAGTTCTGTTGTTTTCTGAGGGTGTGACTGAACAAATCATATAAATATCAGGAACAATGAGTAAGCATTAGATTCTGTTTATATATATTTAAAAGGGGATATAAACATGTGCAAATGTTCCATGTGATTTCTAACTTAATTAATATGCTGATCACATGACGAGCAGCATCTTAGCGTGATTTGTGTCTGACCCGTCAATATGTGAGAAGGGCACGCTGTGACTAATTAAAAATGTATGCAAGTCTGTCATTTAATCATTTAATGATGCACTCGTGGTTCTTCATGATCACGTCTCACGTCTGTTCATTATCTGCAGTAGTTTATTCAGGTTTATCCAGCAACACGTGGGGTACATCCTGGTCCATCAGAAAGCCCAGTGCTCAGTATTTATGGTTGTTCCATCCCATACAACGCTGGGATTTGTTGTCACTGCAAAGTAAATAAGGCTGAAGAGAAGATAGAAATAACGCTTGTGTCTGTATCACATCACATACTGGACCTGTCACGGCTAACACAATCAGCGTCCGGTTATGTGGTCTGGATAATGTCTGCTAACCGGACTTGCTATCAATAAGGCGTCTTGTTGCTCTGACTCTTCTAACGGTGTGATCACAGTCAATCAGCAGCCCGTTGTCAGACCTCCGCTCCAGTAATTTGATCGCAGCTGAACATGTCGCCATCATGTCTGAATGACCACCCGGTTCTTATTGGATCAGACCTCGTGTCGTTTCCGTAACTCCGTCCACACAGTCTGAACTACACGCTGTCTCATTAACGAAGAGGCACACCACACGGAGATGTACTTTTTCGAAAAGCGATTCAGAAAAAGGCTTTTTTCCATAATTTACCACCAGCGTTGACGCATAAGACGTCTAAAACACCTTTCTTGTTAACTTTCACATCTGTTGAGCTACAAACTGAACCGTCCACCACAATAAAGCAGACTGACCCGGACCAGCTGACTCGTCAGTGAACATGTACCAGCTTGTTACCGCCGTAGATTCACTTCATGTTGAGTTACCAGCAAGACATTCAGTCAGGAGATTTTTCAGTTGATGTGATTCCTCAGAATGTGTTTGCGCTGCTTTCACACCTGTCTGAGAGTCCAATCACGAAGCCAACAGGAAAACCTTCAAATTCGGTCCAGCTGCTCTAATCGTGTTCTAGCTGTAGTGCGTTGCTGCATGCGTTTACAGCTGTTGTTTGTGTGCATTCGTTCAGACAAGTTGTTTAAATGCAGTTTGTGAGTTAACACCAGATCTAAATGACAGAACTAAATAATCCGGATCAAGTATTTGCTGTTTGGAGAGGAAAAGATGTCTCAATTCATCCTGCTGCTCATGAAACCACCATTTTTCTTACTATATTTATGTGAGGTTTTGTTGATTCAGCTGGTCCATAAGTAGCAGCGAGCTTCAGCCTGAAACCATCACCTGCTCTGTGCAGTTTCTCTCTAATTTCCATGTAGTTTGTTTTTAATCCACAGCACTATAGTACATATCTGTTTTTTTTTCTCAGCCTTTACATGCCTTAAAGTTGAGGTCTGTTTATTCATGTGTTGTTTCTGCTGCTTTGTCTTTTTTTCTGAATCTCCGTCTAGACAAGAGCGCCGTATCTCCGGCCCTGCTCTCCTCGGCCTCCTCTCTCAGAGACCACGCAGCTTTCTTCCAGTCAGAAACCATGCGGCCGGCGAACGACCCTAAAGAGCGCGACCCCTCCCACGTTCGGATGCTGAACGATGTGCTCCGTGACCTGGAGAAGAGCTTCATCATCCCACAGACGCCGCCTGGAGTGTACAGGTAGGAGAGAAGTTACCGTCTCGGAGTTGGTGCAGGGCAGCAGTCAGGAGCCTCCTCCACCCCCAGAATGCACACAGATCACAACAAGGGAAGTTATGCCCGACAATAGAAGAGTTAAAGTTAGTGTTTAACATGTGAAGTTTGCTTCTAGCAATGCGTTTCTTGGTGTCCTTTCTTTTTTTTGGTGCAAATTTTTACAGGCCGACTGTTTTTGTGGGTCAGCGGCTCTTTGCTGCGTCTTCGTCCGGCGCTGAAATCTGTCATCATCCATTCCAGTTAGCTTTTAAAGGTTTAGCAAACTTGCAGGTGACCTGAAAACATTATTGTGAGAAAGTTTTTCCACCTTTGGCTCAGTAGTCAGTGTTTTCCTGCTCTCTTTTCCTCTCACAGTCGGTCCTGCTGCTTCCTCACCTACTTGTATAATCTCACATAGCCGCTCAGCTTCCTCTCGTTGAGCCGTCATGTTCTCTGGTGGACTCAGATTCCAGCATCACATGACATTTATTAGAGGTACCCCGTGTTTTCAAGACTTTTCCTTTGCTAACGAAACATTTGCGAATCCAACTTTTACCCACGCTCGCTCGTCTTTCTTGTTTTCTGACGATGCTTCGGTTCTCAGAGTCTCACTGCCACCGTCTGTTGATCAGTGAAGCTACAAGCAACCAGCAGCAGGAATGAACAGCTTTCACACACAAGATGCAAACAAAACAAAACACCTATAAACACTGCAAGAACACACCCTTAGAAAGGGAGGGAACATGTGACCAACTCGTGTGAGCAAACCTCAATAAGAAAAACTCAAAATGCTTTTAAAGTTAAGACGGAGCTTCATCAAACAGACAAACTCTGAATAAAAAGTCACTGAAAACTTTTAAGAGAATATTACAGCTTCCTTTGTGTTTAAAACTGAAGTAGACGTCCATAAAGTTCAAGTGCTCCTCCTGTGCTCCTGCTCAGGGGCCTCGGCTGCATGCTTCATAATTATAGGAGATTGTGTTTCAGTGAAGGTCAAGCACGAACCCAACCAAACGTTATTGGAATATTCTGATTAAAAGAAAAAGGACAAAGACAACATAAAACTTGATTAAATAGAATGATCTTTATTTGTGGAGTAAGAATGTGAACTTCAGAGATGGCTTTGTGGTGAACCAGGTGGTTTGAATGCAACAAACAGAAGTACGCTGTGCATCTTAAATGTTGTTAATTGAGACCTAAAAAGATTCATCGTGTACGTGTGATGATCTGACTTCACTTTACTGCTTTAAGGCAGCCTTTTATTGATTGCCCAAATAAAGGAGAGTGAAGCAGTCACATGGCGCGTTATACGTCCCCTGGAGTTATTTAAATTCATGACTTCATTTTGAAAGGTCTTCTGGTCTGCTGCCATTAAACAGATAATTAAAGAGGCCTTTATTAACTATCAACTGTTTAACATTCAGAACTCTTTATTGTCAGGATATGACGATGAGAAATAAGGCGATATTGTGCACGGTGATTGTAGCGGTGGTCCGGTGCGGCTGAACGAATAAACGCTGGTTTATTTGGACCATCCTGGCAGACAAAGAACAGGGCGGTAGGTTACACCTGTTTGAACACAATGTGGCCTGTAGCCGGCTCAGCGGTGACTCATCCAAACAGCTCCCACTTTGCCTGCAAAACATTTGGAGCCCACAAGTGGTAATTTCTGAGGCCAAATCCAGGAATTCAAATTTGGCAGCCAGAGTTACAGTACAGGACCAGAGGGAACACACTGAGGTGTGAAGAGAGTTTACTCTCATGCTTCATTTTGAAAAAGAGCGAGACTTTTCCCAGGATTAGTAATAAATGCAGCACTACCAGTCAGAAGTTTGACTCACCGACACACTCAGGGGAGCTTCTTTACTTTTACTGTTTTATATATTGCAGAGTAAAACTAAAGACATTATGAATTAGCACACATGGACTTCAGTGAGTAATTTTAAAAAAAAAGTGTAAGTGTTTAAAGTTTTAGATTTATTAAACTTGCCCCCTTTTTGCTTGATAACATCCCTGTTAGTGCCCTCCTGTGTCGCCTAATGGAAAAAGGATCTATAACAGGCAGCAAAACATATCAGATATCAACACGTAATTGAAAAAAAAAAATGCAAAAAATGTTCAACTGGTACTGGAGAGAAATGAAGAATAAGCCCTCTGCACAGTCTGAGCCAGAGACATCAAGGTGGCAGCGTCTGGTGCGAATGATGCAAAGGAAGATTTTAAATTGAAACTGCACCAGAGGAATATACATCAGAGGAAGAATCAGCCACAGATGGCAATCTTGGCATGTCCCAAATCCAATGCCCCGACAAGTGTGGTGAGGACTGAAGTTACGCTTTGCAACTTCAAAGCCCGACACAGTGGGCCGTTGCTGGAGCAGACCATCCACCCATCCAACCATTTATTTTCCAGGTGGGTGGTTGTAGAGACCAGGTCATGTGATGCAGCACTTCATCGCTCTGCTTCTCGGTCAGGTGGCCATTATGGAGCCTAGAGTGTTGGTTCAGCTAATGGTGATCCCACTAAGGTCAGAGGTCAGAGGGATGTTGTGGTAGCCGTGTTAGTGTTTCCTCGAGCTGTGAATGAATGTCTAACAGTGTCACTGGTAAAGCCCAACTGAACCACTACCGGCCCGTTGCCCTCACCTCTGTGGTGATGAAATGTTTGGAAAGACTGGTCAGAAACTTCATCACCTCCTCCCTACCTGCCTCCCTGGGCCCCCTACAGTTCGCATACTGGCCAAACAGATGACGCCATAAATCACCTGCTCCACACAGCCCCGGCCCACCTGGACACTAGGAAGGAATTATGTGCCAATGCTGTTGGTGGACTTCAGTTCAGCCTTCAAACCTTAATCCCCTCCAGACTGGTCACTAAGCTGCAGGACCTCGGACTCTCCTCCTCCCTGTGCTACAGCTGTTTGACCAGCAGACCACAGGTGGTTCTAGTGGGGAACCATCTGTCCCCCTCACGCACCCTTAACATCGGTGCCCCCCAGGACTGTGTGCTGGGCCCTCTGCTGGACTCACTGTACACCAATGACTGTCCACATCACACTCTGGCACCATCATTAAGTCTGCTGATGACACAGCAGTGGTGGGTCTGATCTCCAACAACAACGAGGAGGACTATCTGATGGAGATCACCACCTGGAGGACTGGTGCAGAGGCAACAGCCTCCTCCCTGTAATATTCAGACGAGTTTATCCTCAGTAGGTTTTTATCAGCCGTCACCAGTTTTATTGTGCAGTGCAGAATAAAGATTTTTATCACGATCCAATATTGTCGTCAATAGAAACAGCAGAACTGAAGTCAGACTCAGATGGTCAGCAGAGCTTCACAGGTGTTTATTCATAAAACTTCAAACCAACTTCATTTTGATTCTGACCTCTTCCTAATGTATAAAAGAAGACAGAAGTCTTGCTTGAAAGCTGTTTACTCTGAGTGTAAAGCTGCCTAGAAAAACAAAAGAAGCAAACAGAGAGTAGCTGTGCATGACGAAACCACTTCGGATCCTCTTTTTGACGTGGAAAAAAACTACAGTCTCCGTAGATACCACAGCACCTGGTGTGATCAAAGGGTTCAGTGACAGAAATAACCAGACCTGATTTAAACTTGGCTGCTTTCCCATTCAAAGTAGTCTTCTTGTGCAGCGATACTCTGCTCCCAGCACTCCTGCCACGTTTGAAATGGTCTCTGGAAGTCTTGGTCTGCCATCAGAACATTAGAACAGACGTCTAGTTCTGCATCAAAGCGACTTAATCTTCATGTGGATCATCATCGGTGACCAGAGTTGGGTCTGCAGCTCCGACCCAGAGACCAAGCAGAAGTCTTTAGTGGCTAAGATTGCAGAAGGCCAGGCAAGCAGCACAGCCAAGAGCATGCTGGTCATTTTCTTTCACATGAATGGGGTTTTATAAATTTATCCTTCTGGATCAAGTCGTCAACCCAAAGCTGTCTGAGGGAGAACATTCAGCACATGCACCCAGACTTCTAGCACAGTCCATCATGCACCTCACATTTGTTTGGCCTTACTCCGGATTTGGTTCCCTGCAACTTCTTTCTCATCTCCAGAATAGAATTTGAGGTTGGAGGGTTGCCATTTTTAAACCGTGGAGGAGATTCGGTGCAGGAGGTGCTGATGGAGCAGGACATCCAGGGAGTTTTCTTAGCGTCGCTGGAAGCCGAGTGGATGGTGACAAATTTAAAATCAGGCATGCTTTTTTGTGTTTATAGGCACAGTCTCTGTCATTTTTAACTAAATCAGTGTATTTCGAATGCATAAACCAAAAAAAACCTGCCGCACCAAGGAAAGGGGAGAAAACAAAAAGCTACAGCACAACTTTAGTGTAACCAAGAAGGTCCACATCACCCTCCTCCCTAATAATTTTCGCCCTAAATCAGATGCGGTGCCGTGTTGGGGCAGCAGTGATTTAAATCCCCATCAGCCATCTATCTTGCATTGCTTGCATCCACTTCTTTTTCAAGTTGTTCTACATATGGAGCAGAACAGCAATAATGTAACATAAAACTTGTGCTTCACAGTATTTCACACATATTTATTCCTTCTGACAAAAAAAGGGGAAAGGGGAATAATTTACACCCAACAGCGTTTGATTTTTTTTTTTTTTTCCCAGACGACAGCTTTTTAGGGCAGAGCAGCAGTAATTCATTGGCTCTGCTCCGTGCATGTGCAGGGAAGTGAGAGCTCCAGATTAGTGGATGAATTTGTTTTAGTCAAACTGTCCGCTTTAAGAATAAACACAATAAATCATATCAAATCACATTTACTTGCAGGATAGCTGACCTTGACTGATAGTGAGCACTTTTTTCTCTGCCACTATATTTTTATCCCACCTCGGTATAACACCTCGGTTCTGTTTGAGTTCTGCATCCACACCGAGTCCCTCCCTCCCCCCTCTCAGCTCTTTAGCTGTCTACTTTTCCACTAGATTCTAACAGAATAAATGGCTTCTGCTGTTCACT